GAGTGTAATGATGCGTGTATTGTCTACCATAACACGAGTCTATTACACAGTCATCTATCCATTGTGGCCGTATAATAGGTGGGTCAGTGTCAAAATTCAGCAATGATAAAAATTTATACTACTAGTAAAGTTAAAGTTAGCAATGCTCATCTTTTTTTAACGGTTATGTTTTAATTATCTATATAAACACATAATACATTCCTTTTTTTTTTTTTCATATTCTACTATTCTACTCTATTACTTCTTTTACTCTCTCACTCATTTTGCTCAACCTCTTTGTACAGTTTTGTAAAATTTCAATTTTTTGTGATTATGGATGAGAATTTTAGTAGTTTTACAAATATGTTAAATACTCCAAATATAGAAGATTCATCCTCCTCACAAAATCAAAACCCCCAAAATTTTTTAAATTACCCATTTTCTGGTATTCCTACAAATGTGCAAAATTTAATGAAAGTTAATACTTTATTTTTTAAAAATAACAAAATTATTTTTAAAAAATTATTTTATTTATTTATGGGATATGAGTTATGCATTATTAAAATAAATTTTTGATTTAATTGTGAATCCATGCTATTATACCTTATGGAATGTAATTCATTGTAAGTGGAAGTATAGTAAAAGAGAAGAAAGTAAAATGCTGATGTGACACGTGCATTACACTCTAAAGAGAGTGTAAACCATCGTGGATTCTCTAATCCTATGATAGAATAATTATTAAGATATAATCAACTAGACTGGCCGAAAGCCTAAGCCACAACAAATGAGGCAGTTTTTAATTGTCTGTGGCAGATCATGTTACATAAGTTTAAATCAAGGGATAGTTTTAGGAACCTTGAGGTTTCTGATAATAGCAGCTACTTCTCTTGGAAGTTACAGAAATCTCTCTTGTCAAGTATGTTTTGAGAACAATTGGTGATATAAGCACAACTTGATAAAACATATTTATATCTGCTTATGAGCAAACAAATAACCAATTCCGTTACGTATTCCTGAAGAATGAGACACTTTCTGAGTATTTCTACTACATGTGCTAACGTTAGTGCTGCAAAAAAACTCCATGATCAACAAGCTGGGACTTGGGAGATTCAGAATTCCATGAAATGCATCCCATCAACGGCAGCTTGTCAAAGAGGAGCAGCAGCAGCAGCAATGTTGTTGAACAATCTAATGCAGCCACTCCTCCGCAAGTACCCGTCATCTCAATTCCAGCTCTCATTCTACGCCCCAGTTTTTCAGTTCTTAACAGGCAAAAACTACCTCAGACTAGGCCAACAATTGCACGCCCACATGGCCCTCCGCGGCCTATACCCCAATGCATTTCTCGCTGCCAAGATGGTTGCAATGTACGCCAGCTGCGGCGATATCAACTCCGCTGTGCAATTATTCAGCGCCGTTGAATACCCGTCTACTCTTCTATTCAATGCAATTATTCGCGCGTTTACTTTATACGGAGAGTCCCATACGACTATCCTGATTTATAGTCAAATGCATTCTCTTGGTTTGCGCGGGGACTATTTCACTTTCCCATTTGTGTTGAAGTCTTGCGCGGATTCATTGTGTTTTGAGATGGGAAAGTGCGTTCATGGGCTGAGTTTGAGGAGTGGTTTAAATTTTGATATCTATGTAGGGACTTCCTTGATTGACATGTATGTCAAATGTGGTGCACTCGATGTTGCGCGGACGATGTTTGACGAAATGCCTGTTAGAGATACGTCTTCTTGGAATGCATTGATTGCTGGGTATATGAAAGATGGATTCGTGAATTCTGCTGAGGGGTTGTTTCGGGCTATGCCCAATAGGAATATCGTGTCTTGGACTGCTATGATTTCGGGGTACACCCAGAATGGATTTGCGGACAAGGCACTGGGATTATTTGACGAGATGATAAGTCGGGACACAGATGTGGTGAAGCCCAATTGGGTGACGATAATAAGTGTTTTACCTGCGTGTGCACATTCAGCTGCGCTTGAGCGCGGGAGACAGATTCATCAATATGCCAGGGAAAGGGGTTTTGACTCCAATACATCAGTAATGACGGCTCTTATGGCCATGTACTCAAAATGTGGCAGCTTGGCTGATGCTCGTGTATGTTTTGGTCGGTTGAGGCCAAATGAGAGGAATTTAGTAGCATGGAACACTATGATCACTGCTTATGCATCTCATGGATGTGGCAAGCAGGCGGTTTCCACGTTCGAGCAAATGATTGGAGCTGGGGTTCAACCTGATGCAATTACATTTACGGGGCTGTTATCAGGGTGTAGCCATTCTGGCCTTGTGGATGCTGGATTGAAATATTTCAACTGTATGAGATCAATGTTCTTGGTTGATCCAACACTTGAGCATTATGCTTGTGTTGTAGACCTTCTGGGCCGTGCTGGACGATTGGTGGAAGCTTATAATCTCATCTCTCAAATGCCAATGCAAGCTGGACCAAGTGTCTGGGGTTCCTTACTTGCTGCTAGTCATAAACACAGAAATTTAGAGATTGCAGAACTAGCAGCTAAAAAGTTGTTTGTCTTGGAGCCTGCTAATGCTGGGAATTATGTCATGCTTTCAAACATGTATGCAAAGGCTGATATGTGGGAAGAAGTGAACAGTTTAAGAACTCTATTCAAGTCGAAGGGTGTGAAGAAGACTCCTGGGTGTAGTTGGACTGAAGTGAACGGAAAAGCACATTTATTTCGTTGTGGTGATACGTCTCACCTTCAGACAAAGGAAATTTACTCCTTGTTGGAGGAGCTACCAGAGAAGATCAAGGCAGCTGGTTACATGCCAGACACTAGTTTTGCCCTGCATGATGTTTCTGAAGAGGAGAAAGAGCATTATCTCGCTACACACAGCGAGAAGCTGGCTGTTGCATTTGGGCTTCTTAGCACAAGCCCTGATACTGTCATTCGTGTCACAAAGAACCTTAGAATTTGTGGAGACTGTCACATAGTCATCAAATTCATTTCTAAAATATATAGACGTGAAGTCATTGTAAGGGATGTTAATCGGTTTCATCATTTTAAAGATGGATCCTGCTCATGCGGTGATTATTGGTAAATGCAGATATAGTTGCAGTTTTCAGTTCACTATAAGTTTTCTCAGAAGCTGGATATTCGCAGGTCCTCTTTTGGAGCTTTTTGCAAGGAAGCTGCAATGTTGCATCTGGATTGATATTAGCTGCTACGAAGCAGAGAAATTCGTGGTTTTAAGATATTGAAACAGTATGGGAGACTTATTGCATTAGTGTTCAAGATGAATCATAAAGCTGAAAACTTTAGGGGGTAGAATGGCATCTATTTCCAGATTCTTCTACTTCACGCTTGCAGGCCATAAGAATGTCTATCCTGGACTGTAAAAACATCATCTTTGGTATGTAATGGTTCACTGGCGAGTTCAATATCATGATGACCTCTAGAGATGATACTTATAAGGAAGGTCATTGTCTTCATCATTCTAAAGATGGTTTTTATTTATTTGGACACGACAATTCCTCGTGATCAGATGAATCATCTTGTGGATTGCAACTGGAGGAGGTATCAGCTTTCAAACTCGTGGTGATGTACTTTGTCCTTTGGGCAGACTATCCAGATTCTAAGTACAAGGGCAATTCAAAGAATAAGTGTTGGAAGAGTGAAGAATTTGATCAGCTGACTGGTGATTCCTGCTTCGAGAGCTTCAGCTGTGTGACTGTGGTTCATGCCATACCTGTAAGTTTGCGAATTGCTTTCTGTCAAATAAATGCATATCATGGCGACTTTATGGTGTGATATCTTGAATTTTCTGCTTCTTACTTCATCTAGTTTGAATAAGGATGATAATGGGATTATATAACTTAGGGTCATTTACCAGGATATTGGTATTTTATTGCAATTTTAATAAGTGCTTCTATTCCTACTCCTATAATAGGAAAATTGACTTTATGTAAAGTCATGTTCTTTATCATTGAAACTTTTTGTTTCTGCTTATCAACTTCCATACGTTTTAGTATGCAATTTGGTTCATTTGGGACTTGCTTTCACCGTACTGGCTCACTTCTAGCCCCTCAATTGTTACACCCTGTTACAGTTCTGAGGTATATCGATGATTGTAGGTTGTCAAAATTGCAGACTGGGGAAACCTGGAGCCTGGGATGTAGTTTCCATTTACATCCGTTTGTGCCTTGAGTGTTAGCTTCAACTTTGTAAACCGGTTCATCTGACAAGCCTACAGCCTAGTTAATGATTTGAAGTGTAAATGTTTGTTTTGCCAATTAGAATTATATTACAATTCGTGAAAAGAGATGCTAATGTAGTAGCTCATTGATTAGGTAAATTTGCCAAGAACTATGAGATGTTAGAGTGGGATCATGTTATTAAAGATTGTGTACATTCTGCTCTAATCAGAGATGTTGCAAGTTTGAAGCAATCCAATGCAAGTATTTTTCTGTCCCAAAAAAAAAAAAAGAACTTATTGCAGTCGAAATATGCAGTCGCCACTTATCGTTCGACCAAGTGTTTAGCTTGCATTGCTATTTATATACTTTGTGACATGAAGCTTCGGTCTAAGCAGCTGAATTTGAAGTTGCATTTACTTTTTTTTTTTGGTGAAGTATATTTCATTCATAAATTGAAAGCCAATATAAATGAGAACGTCAGAACACTGAATTTGCAGTATGACAAGAAACACGGGAAGGGATAGCACCCAGTTTTATTGGCCGAGAAAAACCAAAAATAGTTTGCCAGTTAATCAATTGTCCTTTTTCAAAATCTACGACTGCAAGACAATTTTGTGACTTAAGGCGCTTGGAAACTTTCTAATCTGCTGTCAGTACTGACTCGGGAATGTATATGGTGAGCAATTATGGTGATTCATGTATGCTGAAGCAGGAAAATCCATGTGTCTGTTGCATATACAACATGGTCTACAACCAAGTCTATACAAGCATTTGCCTCTCAACTATTTTAAAATAATAATGATACTAATAATATTTGAACAGCAATCTAACAAGAATGTAAGGCACAGGCTCGTGTCTAAAAACATGAAACACTATCAATCTAGCAAGAATGTAAGGCACAGATTCATGTCTAGAAATATGAATCACTTGGGTTAACACAAGACTTGGGAATTAGTATTCACACTCCCATTTTAGCCTCTGGCACTCCAATTCACTCAATAAATAATATACCTCCAACGAATATTAGAGGCTAATTGGAGAGTGCAAATATTACTTCTCATGAACATATATGTCCCCTTTTAGATAAGTCAATTGGGTTAGTGGAACTCGTTAATGAAATTTGAACAGTTCCATTTAAAGTACAAATCCGGAAAAACGTATAGTTAACACCGTGACTCCTCAACCGGAACGTTTGTATAAGTACAGGAATAATTCTCCACCTTTTCGCCATTTCCTTTAACCTTGGTCCAGGATATTCGCCATGTCTGGAACAAACTTCGTCTGCAGCAAAAAGGGAATGGATGCATAACAGTGTTAAAAAAAAGGGAATTTTTGTTTAGAGTTCAAGGGAAAAATGGATTCAGACACGAAAAACACATCATAATGTATCCTTTTAAAAAGAACACCAGCTCCTAACCAAGCAAGGGATTATTAAAATGTATCGTTGTCAAGGGTCATATTTCAGGCAGAAATCCAATACTACCTCTCTGTTTCAATAACCCTCTTCATTAGCATCAGAGTCAAGAAGACAGGGACCATAGCTGCAAATAAATGCTTAAGAGTGTGCCCGCTCACAATGTGATGAGTCCATTTGTAAATTGGTTTATCAGCTGCTTCTTCAACCTTAGCTATAACATAAAACCCTGTGTATTGTGCAGCAACGTCCTAAGAAGACAGTATAGAATGGCAACTAAAAGTAGTACAAAAAAGAAACATCTGAATCAAGAATGTTACAAACCTGCAGCCCATAACCAATACAAAGAATGTGTATACATTGGAGGCAACAGGATAGTCATCAAAGGAATGGCTATGCAAGGAACAAACTGGACCAATGCATATGGACGCAGATCATCAAAAAACCTAAGACAGAAATGTACGTACAGTTAGACCACAATTCAAACTCAAAAAGTTCAAGACATAATTTCAGTTGAAATGCTGCTTCCACTTCAGTTATCTACAGCCGTGAGAAAATTTTAGAGTATAAAATGCTTAACGCAAAAAAATGAAAGGAAAAAGAAGATGGACACCTCTCCTAATGCTACCACAGGCAAATTATCCAAGGCTACATGTAAACAGAAATAACTCATGAATGTAGATTCAATCATCACTGCCTATTAGCTGTAATAATCGATTAGTAAGACTTGAAATATATCATGCACTCCTTGCTAAAAGAGAAGCACTTACCACCAATAGAGAATGCTAACTATACCAGTCAAGAGCAGAGGAAGAATTGATAGAGTCCCCCATTTTTCATCCACTCTTTCAATAATGAAGATTGAAATGATGGAAGTGAAAGCAATAGTCATCTGCGGCAATTATGGCCCTCACATTAAAATAATAACCAGAATATATAGCTACAGAATTATGGCCTATCTGAGAAATCCCAAGTTTCATCGCAAGAAAACTTACAGGCAAGCGGTCCCAGACAAGACGAGCATCATTTGGTTTGAGATGATAGTAAGCGGATCCAAAAGCAACAGCTGTAACGCCAATGAAAAAACATGTCCAACCCAATAGCTCACCTTGTGATCTTTTGGCACCATTGTCAGGAACATCACAGTCAACTCAGCAAAAGGGGAGCCAAAAAAATTTGAGAAAATGTGACATATTGACAGAAATAATGATAAAACATTATACCTTAGCCTGAAATAGTTCCGATAATAACAAAGTATAAGCCCAATTGCGCCAATTACAAAAAAAGGAAAATTTGATACCACATTCAGCATGTTCGGTATCCCTGTTAATCATAGCACACGTTATTTTCTATGAATGGACAATACAGGCTCAATCGCGTTTCAAAGTGCAGAGACAACTTGAGATGAAGTATATTACAGCCCCTCAATTACAGTTTAATAAGTTTCTTTGAACATAAAACATGTACATAAGCTTGTGGCAAACATGGAAAGGATGCAATTACATGTACTTTGAGCATCTCCAACAGCGATGCAGTTTTCCTTGTGCATACAAACAGGCCCAGAATAAAGCCAACCCCTAAAATTCCACTAACCAAACAAAATGAGTTAATATACTAGATAAATATTCAGTACCATGCAATGCTTCTCCGGTAAGGAACAAATCATGACGCACTCATCTGGATGCTAGGATGCGCAAAATACAGGTCTGCTTGAGTTTTTTTTTTTGGCATAATTTGAAGGCAAAAATACTAAAACACACGTACTTTCCAACTTTTCGTGCCAGTGAATACTGAGGCTAGAAGTATAACAAATTTCGAGCAGACCCACGTTTACATACAAAATCACACAAAAAATAAAAACGAAATTGAGCAGGGCTGGAGCCCTAAATTTAGCATATCTCAAGCATCAGATTCCGACGATTCGACAGGACAAGAATCATAGTAGGAAAGGTTTTAGGTGCAAAATAAGAAAGAAATTCGGGGGAAAATAGAGAGATATCTTTACCAAAGAATTCACGCTGATCAGCAAAATCATGGTATTGTTCGGACTGGGGAATTTTCGGAGTGACAACCATTAAAACTATAAAACACAAGATTGCTACTCCCCATACTAACAGAGTTCGTTTACTCATCATCTCCTCTGTCTTTTTTCTTTTCAGATTTCTTCTTTCTTTCTTCTCTCCTCTAATTTCCAAACAACCATAATGACGAGGGAGGAAGGAAGTTTCCTCAGGTAATACGACAGTTTGGTCGTCAGCGCGGTAAACTTGTAATTCAGCTTTCCGTTGAGGGGTTAGTTTGTCCAATTCCCTCTGTCCAATGTACGAAGGGGAACTTCCGAGTTCTTACCAAGGTTCCGTTCACTTCGAGCCACGCCTTCTACAGTTCTACTCCGATTTGTATTTTTTTAAATAATATTAAAATAATAATAATAATATTTAGTGTTTGGATTGAGCAGTGTATCGGGAAAATCGCTAATTTAGTCCTCAAACTATTTCACTAAAGCTGATTTGGTCCCTCAATATTTTATCGCATGAATTAAGTTCCTTAATTAAAATTCTTGTGCCAATTTAAAACCTATACGGTATTGCCGCCCAAAACACACATTTCTGTACATAAACCAACGGCGAGGCAGGGGTTTTTTTGAAAGTACACAGTAGGATTTCTACGGAAAGCAAGACAGCAATCATTTTGCATCCAAATTGGGAAACCTTTGAGTAGTGAGAAAATAGAGGAAGCAATAGCTTTTGATCCCTTACTTTCAAAGGTGAAGATAATTGCAAATTCTTGGGATCCACGTGAAATGAAGGTAAAGGAAGTCCTCTTCCCTCACTGGAAGAAATGGGCAGAAATAAATAACAAATTTTGTTATGACATAAGAAACTTCTTGAGGGGTGAAGGTGAAGGTCTTCTGAGCGACCTTGCTACTCGTATATGTGGAAGCGGGGTGTCTTCTTGGATGGTCGAGACCCTGCCTTCTCTTTCAATTTTATTACTAGAAATTTTGGACTTTCGTTGGTGGATTTAGTCAACTTCAGTAGCTCCAAGTTGGCTAAGGAGTTTAGTTGGAATTATGGGGAAGAAGGTGCTACAAATAAAAATGATGTGTTAGAAAGACGACTTAAACAAATTCGCAATTTTCTGTTCATTTTGTTTATTTCCTTGGGTGTTCCGGTCCTTAATATGGGAGATGAATGTGGTCAGTCTTCTGGGGGTTCTCCTGCATATGGTGACAGAAATTCCTTCGATTGGAATGCTCTAAGAAGTGGCTTTAGTATCCAAACAGTGTAGTTTATTTCTTTTTTGACTTCACTGAGAATAAGGCGAAGTGATCTTCTTCAGAAGAGGAATTTCTTGAGAGAAAAGAGTATTGAGTGGCATGAAAGCAACCAGGCTCCACCAAGATGGGATGACGCAGCTAGCAAATTCCTAGCTATGACCTTGAAGGGCCAGTTCTGAAGATATCGAGTCTAACTTTGTTCCTAATGCCTGTGGTGACTTGTTTGCTGCCTTCAATGGCGCAGATCTGTCAGAGAGCATTACTCTTCCCCCACCTCCAGCAGATATGGTATGGTTTCATTTGGTTGACACGGCCCTTCCTTTTCCTGGATTTTTCACAGCAAATGGTGCTCGTATCGAGAATGGGTTGGCCACATATGAGATGAAATCTCAGAGTTGTGCTTTATTTGAAACCAGAGTCCCTAATGATTGGTTTCCTCCAATTTGGATGCAAAATGATTGATGTCTTGCTTTCCGTAGAAATCCTACCGTGTACTTCCAAAAAAGCCCCTGTCTCGCCGTTGGTTTCTATACAGAAATATGTGTTTTGGATGGCGACACTGTATAGGTCCTAAATTGACACAAGAAATTTAGTTAAGTGACTTAGCGATAAAATGTTGAGGGACCAAATCGGCTTTAGTGAAATAGTTTGAGGACTAAATTGGTGATTTTCCCTAATGTATTTGAGATAAAATAATTTGTTTCGTAAATTTCAATCACCTTCTTATCTTATCAATTATCTTTTTATCTCACATACATTACATCACAAAAAAAGTGCTACAGTAGTTATTTCAAATAAATCTTCCAAATAAACTTTTATCCAAACAAACTCATTAACACTTGGTTGACCTAAACTACAATTTGAAAGTTCTAATGTCCAAACATATATATTAGTTTTTGGATTTTTTGAAGGAAAAAGAAACTTTCTATCCTTACTAGTTTTTGGTTGGGACTTGGGACTCAAGTGGTAGTACAAGTTTTTTGTTTATACCTTTCTCTGCCTTTTTGCGAAGATTAAGGTGTAGTACAATTCTAGCTACAATGCTAATGTATACTAAGAATGTATGCATTAGGAATATTAGAAACATCTCAAAAAGTGTAATATTTACAAATTAAAATTGAAATTTACTTGTGTATCGTATTTATGTATTATATATATATGTGTGTGTGTGTGTGTATGACATGTTGTAGGAAAGGTTTTAGTGGAGGTCTCCTAGATGGCTTCCAAATCTCTCATAATTTTGTTTTGGATTGTTCATTTATTTTAATACATAAATTTAATTAAAAAGTTTGAAATAGTGATTTACAACTAATCTTATGACATTCAAATTTAAATTTTAAAATTTAAAACTTTTTAATAAATCATTTATAGTTTGTTTTTAGACTTTAATCCCTTTTTCCTTCCATAATTGAAGAAAATAAATTTGGATAATTTGATTAGGCCCATAGTAAAATCATTCATCCTATTACAACTTTATCACTTTAGCTCATTTTACTCCTTGATTAATAAAGATTGATTTGCCAAATATGAGGAATAATGTGATTAGTCCCATTTTTTAATTATTTACATTATAATATTTTTTGCACTTTCCCTCTAGTTATATACATTGATTTGTCAAACATTCCGATGACATATCCAATTAACTTATTGCAACTAAATCAATTTTTTTATCCTTAAACTTATCCTATTAGACAATTATTCCAACCAATGAAATAAACACTTTGACATACAAATGTCATCTAGATAATTTTCGATATACGCAAAAGTCCATCTGGATAATTTTTCATATAACATGTATATCAAAAAGTGGAGTTTTTGGCTAAAATAATCTACTTTTCAAAAAATAATCCCAAAGTAACGCTCTTTCAATTTTTATTCCCTTATTAATCTAGTTATTGCCATGTAGACTCCCTATCAAAGGAAAAAAATAACTTATAAATCTTTTGTTTATATATTACACAGTTTTTTCTTTATTTTGTGCCTTAAGGACATTCTGTAAACAAATTAAAAAAGGAAAGTAGATCCATAATTAGTGTTTTAAAATTGTTGATCACCCTCCAAATTGCAATGATTTTGTCGAAGAATTTTTTTTTTCTGCCATTATTCCTCCCTAGCTTTGTTCTTGATTATTATATCACAAGTTCCTTTCTTTTTTTTTTTCCTTCTTACTTGCAATTATATATATGGTAATCTCCTAACTTTGTAAATTTTAAGAAGTTTTGCAAAAACTCAAATTGTTTGAAGTACGAGTAAACATTTCAAGATATATAATAATCATAGTTTACGTGAACTATAAAAATTCCACTATAAGGGGAAAGAAAATTTGAAAAAAATTCTCTTGCATTTTTTGACTTATCAAAAGAGAATACATTCCAAAAAAATAGGAGAGAGTAAATATAACTAGATCAGTATTAGTATCAAAATTAACACGCTATATGAGCCAATCTGATTTGAGAAATACTAATTAACTCAATAATAGATAGAGAAATATTTTTATTTATCTTTAAGATTGTACATAAGTAGCAAAATTTGAACTATTGAAAGGTTATTAAAAATCTATTGATATGAATTGTATCTCTTAATATAAGATGGAAATGTGAATACTTTCCATACTCAAAGTCCACATGGCAACAAGTAGGTTAACAAGGGAATATATTTTGAAAGTGCATTAGTTTGGGAATATGTTGACATTGGTCGATCAATCCTTGGTTTTGATGATTAACAAACCAAAATGTAGATTTGGGCTAATATTTTTATGTGAGTAATTTGTTAGAACAGATTCTTGTGGCATAAAAGAAGAAGCAAAAACAGGGCACTCATGTCGGACGCTATCGGACGTCCGAAAGGATGAAGAACATCAAGAAGGAAACTCTGTCGGACGCTCGTGAGGAAGCATCGGACGTTCGGAAGGATCGGACGCACGCCTCGGACGCACATCGATCGCATCGGACGTCCGAGAAATTTCGCAAATATTTGATGACTCTCTGCCTACGTTCGGACGCAGGGTTCGGACGTCCGACAGGTGGTTCGGACGTCCGACAGGCACCTGTCGGACGTCCGACAGGCCAACGGCTAGTTTTGACAGCAATTAATATTTGACCGTTGGAGAGTCTTTTGGAGTCATTTCTCACCTTCTATAAAAACCCCAAAGCACAAGAAGACTAGAGACTTTTGCCAACACAAAATACAAGCTTACAAGTGAGATTTTTGAGTAGAAAGATTCTTTGTTGGTTGTATAAGGGGTTGGGAAAGTTGGGTTGTGAGGTTGCTCAAGTGAAAGTTATTCTCTAAGAGGAGTAAAACCTTGGTGAAGGTGAACCTATCACTTGAAGTGGTAAAACCTTGGTGAAGGTTGCCTCATTTGTGTAAAATAGTTCTTAATTTGGTGAGTGATCTTTCAAGTGTAGGTTGTTGAGGGTTAACTAGAATAGTTGTAAAACTCCTTGGCTCAACCAAAGTGTGTTTGGGGTGAGGAAGGAGTGAACCTTCACTTGTACATCTTAGTTAGCATCGCCATCAATTGAAGAGGCTATTGGATTGATATTTGGTTTGCATTTCTTATCTTTTCTCTTTAATTAAGTTTTCTTTATTGTGCTTAAATTTGATATATCTTTGTGCATTATTGTGAAATTGTTTGTACTCATTGGGTTGCACCGGGAACTTACAATTGGTATCAGAGCTTGGTCTCTTTTGATCAAGCTTAACCGCTTAGAGTAAAGATCATGGCAACCATAAAAGTTTCTTTTTTAGAAGGGCAATCTATTGATAGACCACCTATGTTTAATGGTTCTCATTTTAGCATGTGGAAACAAAGAATGATGATTTTCTTACAATTGGTGGTATGTGGTAGAAGATGGTCCTTATGAAACTAGAATAGTTGACTCCACCACCAATCTGATTTGAGAAATACTAATTAACTCAATAATAGATAGAGAAATATTTTTATTTATCTTTAAGATTGTACATAAGTAGCAAAATTTGAACTATTGAAAGGTTATTAAAAATCTATTGATATGAATTGTATCTCTTAATATAAGATGGAAAT